ACACACACACACACACACACACACACACACACACACACACACACACAGGTACTCATTACTGCATGTTTCCAACTCCACAGATCGATACAAATAGGCCACATTTTCTGCCTGGATAATGACATATTTAATGACCCTCCTCTCCTTTGCTCTCCTTCCCTCACTTTTCATCAAACACATTGACTCGAGACTCAAGTTTGTTCTCCCATGTGCACAAGCTAACACAATATGCCAAATAGCAAAGTGAAAGTAATGATTTTTATCTACATAAAGCTTATTTTTCCATTGTCCTCTGTGTGTTTCATCAAAAATGTTGCAGACGTTTGCTCAGTTCTGTCCATGTGTGCACACATTTATAGCTACTCAAGATCACATATGCAAGTCACTGTTTAGGTGAATTTGTAGAAGTGTGTATTTTGTTATATTTGTTTTAGTGAGCATGAATGACTGACCAGTTTCTGGATAAGCTGTAGTAAAGAGTAAGGGTTACAGGAAAAGCTGATTAACCCACTGCTACTGAAAGCAAATCAATGAAACCCACATATGCACACACATGCATACATACTAATTTGGTTCCTCTATAAAAACTTAGCACATGCATATCAGATGCACTGCATATAAATGTACTTTATAACTACATCACTCTGTCCATACCAACACTCTATTTCATTGGGACCTCCTCAATTACAGAATACATTTTCACTCACAAAGTTCAGGCTCAGGGCCTCCTGAGGGTGCTGGTGGGCATGGTTGATTGACCCTGCCTCACCAATCTGCCCAGCTCTCTGCCAGAAAATCAACCAATTAAAAAATGCAGGAACCTCTGCTGTGAAGAGGAGGAAGGTGGTGGTGGTGGTGTTGGTGGTGGGGGGTAAAAGCAGCTGCTGTGCTGACTTTGGAAGCAGCTGTAAGACTCTAACCTGAATTTGCAGGACAGCCAGGCTCTGTCTCTATAAGGTTTTGAAACAAGTAGAACTGAACTTGTATTTGATGTGCATTATGGATTTTAAATGCACATCTGACAAAATGGCATGCATTAACAGTGTGTGATATATCAGGTCAAATGCTTCTTTCAACAACAACATAAAGGTTTTTTTTTTTTTTTTTTACAAGTTACTAACAAAAAAAAGTCTTAATGTCTTGATTTATTACCAAGTTGTCCCCACTCTTAATTAAACCGCAGCCCAAAAAAGCTGTAAGAGACGGCTTTAAGACAATACATCACAATGTCGGCACTTCTACCACTGTGCCTGGAACAATTCTACCTCAAGGAGAAAACTAGGACCAAATGCAGGGTGGCATACGGTGTCAAGGTGGTACAAGAGCATGTACTGTTAAAAACTCTACTACTACTACTACTTTATTTATAAAGCACTTTGAAAACAACCACAGCTGCAGTTAAGTATTGTAAAATAAAAATAAAAAAGATTAAAAATATATAAAAAAATGAACTAAGAACATGCCCTGATGTAAGCTCAATCATCCAGGTAAATAAATACAAAAAAGTTAGGTCATCTGGACAGATTCTTCTAGCCAAGAAGAATATGGCTAGATGACCTATTTTAACATTTTGGATAAACAAAAAGCATTTAAAAAGACAAACAAGAAAATTAATAAAAACAAAATCATTATCAAAATAAACAAGAGCAAGTTTTAGGTTGTGCCAAAAGTAAAGGAATACAATTGCTAAAAAAAATAAAATAAAAATAAATAAATAAATGAGAGCTTCATTCTTACTTACATGTGTTGGGAGAACTCGGGTGACTCGTCATTGACATTGGCCATTCTAATCCGTACCGTTGTCGTGCCTGTGCGAGGGATCTCCCCTTTGTCAATGGCCATGATGACAAACTCATACAGGTGGTTGGGTCTTTCGTAGTCCAAAGGCCCCGCTGGAAAGATGGTTCCATGAGGGGAAATGGTGAAATCTGGACTCATGGTATAATAGGTCAGCTCTGCATTCGCTCCCGAGTCACAGTCACTGGCTGACACTAAAGAAATAGACACAAAGAACAGAAAACATACATAAATAAACTTTAGAAGAGCTACACGCTAGCAACACTGAACATCAAGATACATTTACAGAATATAAGTTATTGAAACAAAGAATACAGAAAACAATAAAAAGCTTTAGTTTGGCAACTGTGGCCCAGTAGTACATATGTTGCTTTGTAATGGGCATGCCCTTACAGCCTGCTGATGCTTTCTTTGTCAATTTTTATTCATCAGGTTTTACTGTAGAATGAGTGAAAACAATAAGTGATGTATATAGGTATAAAACAGAATAAAATGAACTGTAGGTGTATGTGTAAATGTGCAAATAAGAAGTGTTTGGGCTGCTGTTTAATATACCGTATTTTTTTACATTATTAGTGTTTAGCATATATCCGAGATCCTTATATACCATTTCTTTTTATACTTTATATTTTTGCTATTTTTGTGGGTAACTGGAACCCTGAGTACACAATTTTGTTCCACCTCATGTACCACATGTGATGCAAATGACAATAAATAAACTTGAACCTTGTTTGGCAAAATCTGGAGACATTCAACATGTAATTACTACTAACCATTAATTTCTAGAGTCTGTGTGACCAACGCAGTGATGTTTGCCTCTGTAGGATGAGATTTAAGTGATATTTGCACAGCAAGGACTGTAAGGACAGTCATTTTGAAAAATGTCTGCTCCTGCATCACACATTGGGAATCCATGGGGCCAAGACCAGCTTGGCCACAAATTGATTGTCTTGCTAAAACTGAAAAGACCACCAGGGAGTTGAATAAGCATATTTTACACTTACAAGAACATTTCACAATCAAAAACTCAATTCTCCAATTCACCTTACACTGCATTAAGCTCATGTGCTCATACAAACATACACATTAATAGAAATAACACACACACACACACACACACAGAATCATACAAGTAAAAAGCAATTGTTCTTGTCATAAAAGTTTGATAAAATGTTAACGGAATCAAATTTAAAAAGTTATAAAAATAATTTATTTAATAAAGAAAATCAACCATTTTCACAATTTTGACCCTGAACACAATCCAACGAATGTAACACAAATAACAAGGTCAACATAAGAAAAATATAATTTCAGAAATTGTTCAAGCTAAAAGTTAACCCTTCAGGTAACTTCATTGGATGTAACACAGCGAGTGGACAAAGTCATTAGATCCTTGCTTCCACATACACATCAAACCATCACTCCATAATTCATAACATATAAAATACAACCACACCGCAGACTCTGCCCTCTTCAGAACCTTAAAATAATATTTGGCACTTCTCCTCTATGCTTACCTCAAACAATTTAATTCTGTTGGACAATCATGAGCCAGAAGTTCATGATCTGTGGAGAGGTTTAAAGCCAGATTGGAAAAGCTCTAAGATGGCGTGATCCTCCAGGATGCACTTCAACTGGGACTCAACTATTTTCTCCAGTAGTTTAGAAACAAATGGGAGTCTGGAGACAGGCCAGAAGTTGGAAACAACTGAGGGGTCAAGGTTTGTTTTTTTTCTGGAGAGGCTGGACAGCAGCATGTTTAAAGGTTTTTGGCACCACACCAGTGGATAAACTGCTATTTACAATAGCAAGAATGGACGGACCTAGGGTTGGAAAAACCTCCTTTAGTAGTCGAGGGGGGACCACATCAAAGGGGAAACCAAAAAGTTTCAAGCTGCACATGACCTGCTCTAGAGAAGACAGAGTGATGGGTTCAAAATGATCAAAAAGAGCTACAGATTGTGGTGGGATGGATGGGTCATGAGTTGGAGGGGAAATGAGAGCACGGGTGGTCGCAATTTTTTTTTCCAAAAAGAAATGTAAGAATTTCTCGCACAGCTCAGTTGAGGCTTCCAGAGGTGATGGTTCAGTGAGGTGGAGAACAGTTTAGGGTGGAGAAGAGGACATGTGGGTTGTGAGAGTTTGAGGTTATGATATCAGAAAAGTATTTGGATTTAGCAGCTTTCACTGCTTTCTGATAACGACGCCAACTCTCTTTTTAGTATTTGAAAAGAGACCTGCAGCCTGTCTTTCCTCCATTTGCACTCAACCCTCCTGCACTGCTGTCTAATGGCCTTGGTGACGTCACTCAGCCAAGGTTCTGCTCTGAGTTTTGATTTTCTAGTTTTAACAGGAGCGACATGATCCAGAGTCTTTAAGCAGACAGAGTTGAACTGGGATGTCAGTGCCTCAGTGGTGGAGAGAAACACTGGGGGGAAACACTGGGGGCTGAGTTATCATTTCAGAGTTATAAACATCTGTGAAACGTGCGGCAGTGAAGTGGTTAATAGTACGGCTGCAATGTGCAGGAACGCACAGCTTAGGAGTTAGATGGGGGAGGGTGAACTCAAACTGGACTGGCATGTGGTCTGAAAAAACATCATCACCAATTTCAAGATTATTAACAGTCGCATCACGTGTTAAAACAAGGTCCAGTGTATGTCCGCGCTCTTGGGTGGGACCGTTTACATGCTGAGTTAGATTAAATGAGTCCAATAAATCTAAAAAGTCCTTAACCAAGGGCTTCTCAGGACAGCACATGCGCAAATTAAAGTCCCCAATAATGAAAACATGATCATATTTTGGTGTGATTTCAGCCAAGGAATCAGAAAACTAATTTATGAAATCCTGAAAAAAGTTGACCATGGTAACTTTGAAAACTGGCAACCGTTTAATCCCTAAATATAGTGACATAAATCTGAAAAAGCCATAGCTCAGACTGTTCAATGATGCTAACGTTCAGATTTGTGAGCTCTTTGAGCAACAGAAGCAAAAAAATCAAGCTGCGAGTTTTCTTTAAATATAGAAATACTAATGTCAGTATCCAGTATCTGAATTAAAGCATGCTAATGTAAAAACTGCAGAACAAGTTCCCAAAATCTAAAAATACCAGTAAGTCTGTAAGAGTTCTTGTCAACAGAATGTAACTGAAACTCTGCATTTTTTCCCTCAGGTTGTATATTTTCTATTAATGTCATATCAAAGTTTAGGGAATAAACTGAAGCGTTGTTAATGCAGCCAACTGGCATCACAAAATAACAATTAAAAAAAAATAACACAAACATATTCTTCTTCTGGTTTTTCCCTCTTCAGGGAAGTCATCCTCCTCCATCTCACTCTGTCTTCTTCATCCACTCCAACTACCTCCATGTCCTCTCTAACTGCATCCATATATCTCCTCTTTGTCTTTTTCCTGGCAGCTGCATTTCTAACATCCTTCTACCAATATACCAACTGTCCCTCTTCTGGACATGTCCAAACCATCTCAGTCTGGTCTCTCTAACTTTATCTCCCAGTTGTTCAACCTGTGCTGTACCTCTGATGATCTCATTCCTAATCTTATTCATCCTCGTCTCTCCTAAGGAAGACCTCAACATCTTCATTTCTGCCACTTCCAGTTCTTTCTCCTGTCTTGTTTTACATGCCTCTGTCTGGAGACCATACAAGATAACTGCACACATAAGTGTCCTTAAACAATAGACTTTCACCCCTAAATATTTTATGTCCCCCTTTCCTTAGTTTTTCAATAGTAATACCCAACTCATAATGATCAGAATATTATCATTTTAATAGGTCTTCCTTTAATATGGGAATTATAGTTTCAGTTCATCCTGATGCATGCTCAATAATCCAGGTAGAAAAATCTAAAAAAGTTAAATCTGGTCCTCTGGACATTCAAAAAAAAAAAAAAAACCCAAAACAAAGCAAAACAACAAAAAATGTAGAAACGTTTCGTCTCTCGTCCGAGAGACTTCTTCAGTCTGAGGTGCTGTATTCAGCTCAGTCTCCTAAATAGCACCTCTGATAGAGGACATTTGCAAACTGAGGTGTACCGCAAACCCACACACACAGACCAGTATTTGCAGTTTGACTCCCATCACCCTTTGGAGCACAAGTTAGGAGTCATCAGGACTCTGTACCACAGAGCAGACAGCGTCCCCACTAGCTCAGGAGCCAGGCAGAAGGAGAAATCCCACACAAGACAGGCTCTAGAGCAATGTGGATATCCTAACTGGGCCTTCCTAAAAGCAGAGAAGAAACCCAAACAGGACTCCAGTCAGCCAACAGGTGAAAAGGAGGAACCCAGACCCAGACCAGTGGTCATTCCGTATGTTGAGGGAGTATCAGAGAAACTGAGACGTTTATTTTCTAAACATAACGTCCCAGTGGCTTTTAAACCCCAAAATACATTACGGCAAAGACTGGTTCATCCCAAAGATCCAGTCCCCCAGCACAAACAGAGTAATGTTGTGTATGCTGTTCAGTGTCAGGAGGGCTGTGATCAGTCTTACATCGGGGAAACAAAACAGCCACTGGCCAAAAGGATGGCCCAGCACAGAAGATCAACATCATCAGGCCAGTACTCTACGGTCTACACTCATCTCCAGGCCAGCGGTCACTCTTTCAGGGATGAAGATGTTCACATCCTGGACAGAGAGGAACGATGGTTTGAGAGAGGAGTAAAGGAGGCCATCTTTGTGAAAAGAAATTGTCCATCATTAAACAGGGGTGGAGGCCTACGTGTTCAACTGTCCCCCTCTTACAATGCTGTGATTGCTAGTATCACTCAGCCCTCTGTGAATAGTAAACAGCCATCAGTGTGCTAATGATCCATTGTTAGGCTGATGGTCCTTCTTGAGCATGTGATCAGCTGGTTTTGGTTGTCAGCAGAAAAACTGGTTGATCCACTCTGAGAAGGTGTTATTTAAGAGACTGAGCTGAATACAGCACCTCAGACAATAAAGACATGACAATAAAGAAACTCTGACTCTGACTCTGACTCTGACTCAGACTGAAGAAGTCTCTCGGACGAGAGACGAAACGTCTCTACATTTTTTGTTGTTTTGCTTTGTTTTGGTTTTTTTTTTTTTTTGAATGTCCAGAGGACCAGATTTAACTTTTTTAGATATAGTTTCAGTTGTTTAAATTTGTCAGCTTAACAGGTTGGACAAAGTCAGTTTGTGTGTATTTACCTGACTGTTGTGCTTGTTCCAAAGGCTGACAGTTTTTTGAACTGCAGCTGAAATATCTTTGGTTCTGGAAAGTGATAAACTACCTCTCATCCAAGGATGATGGGTAGAAAATGAACAGTTCCTCCAGTGTCTGTCCAGAGTCTAATCACATGCAGCAGCCAAACACATGTCACATGAGTCAATATTTAATTTACTAAGTACAGATCTCTACTCTTCAGAGCACCATTAGAACATTTATTTAGCTGAGAACCCTTTCGTAATCTTGCATCAAGAACTGCTGTGCTGCATCATTGCATGGGAAGGTAGTGAATTGAAAGGACACTAATCAGCCACAAGATTAAAACTACTGACAGAAGAAGTGACCAACACTGCTCATCTTGTTACAACAACAAAGTTCTTCTGGAAAAGAAAGTGTTCTGGTAATCACATAAATTGTACTTGATACTTGCCACCTACTAGGAGAAATAAATGTCTACTCAAAACCCACAACCAACAAACCAGAGCCTAAAGATGTTTTTAGTTAATGACTTCATCACTCCAGTGCCCATTAATATAAAGCATAGTGTAGACCCCCTAGGTGTCTTTAAAAGATCCATTTTGACTAACCCCAACAACCTGGAATCATATTTAGTAGTAAGACAAAGCTGGTTATTGACACATTCAACCAAGGTTTTCTGACTCTCATTTGTTTGCATTTATAGTGGAGCAGCATCAGGGATCCACTCACAATCATCAAGTTGTGGAAATACAAGACAGAAAAACAAAACAAAACATAAAATACATAAAATATTCTATTCTTTTTTTTTTTCCTGAAAAAAAAATAAAATAAATAGAAATTATTATACATTCTGCCCCGAAAAGACGCAGTTTAAAAGCAAACCAGCTTTGTGATAATAAAAATACTGAACTGAATTTGAAGTTCGTTAGCCACCAATTCAACTCTGTAGTCCAAACCTCAGGACCACTTCCCCCCCTTTTTAATTATTTTGTCCATGTTCCTAGCTTGATGGCACAAGATGGAGACCAACACCATTGCTTTTGTTGTGACAATCAGTGTTCATTTTTGGCTACATTACCAATGGCATTCTGGCCTATCTGGACTTTGTGCTGTGGATGGAAACTGTTGGATGCTCAGATCTCTATGGGAAGCAGGATAATTGGTTTGCCTGGCAATGCATTTTGCTTTGTTCTTTTCCTTTCCTCTCCAACTTGCCAGTATATATTTGACTACACTTAGAAATGAACTGATTATGGAATGACACATGATTTAGCAAACCCAAGCTGAATGCCTATCTCTGCATGCTAATTATGTGTTTCACGACTTTGCTTTTAACTAAAATATACATTTCTTCAAAATCTAAAAAAGGTGAATCCAACATTTTTCAGTCAGGTCATCTGGACAGTTTCTTTTTTTTTTTTTTTTTTGTGCTGAAACGTTTCACCTTCGATCCGGAAGGCTTCATCAGTCAAGGAAACACACAACAAAACTGATTCTTCCCCTAACAGCTTACTCCACAGTGGAACAAACCAGTTCTGCTTGTGATAAGAAGGTCTCTTTGATAAGCCCCTCCTCCATTGCCGGCCCTCTTCCTTGTTGACAGTCTTGTCAAACTGGTTGAAAACATCAAAGTCCATGCTCAATAATCCAGGTATAAAATCCAAAATCCAATGTTGGATTTTATACCTGGATTATTAAGCATGGACTTTGATGTAAAATAGGTGAAGTTTCTCAGTTTTATATGTAGTTATACGTGGATTATTTTAAACTAATTGTAGTAAAAATTGTAATGTTTGTTTGTAGTTTCTTCATTTTACTGAGAAAATTGTTGGTATTTTAACAATCGTTGCACTAGCACTGTGTGATAAAATGGGAACTCTTTACATCTTTGTGTTAATATAATCAACATAAACAAAAAACTTTTCCTTCAACACTCAAGTAGTTTTAAACTTGTGATACGGGTAAGGTCCACACTGACTATATAAGCATGTAATCATGATTTCCTTTGAAAATTTGTACAAAATAAGAATCAAGCAAAACAAAACAGTTCAAAGTAAAGAATTGTATTAATCCAATCCACTGTGGGGGCAGCACGGTGGCGCAACCAGTAGAGCTGCTGCCTCTCAAAGAGCAGGTCCCCGGTTCAAATCCCGGTCCGGGGGCCCTTCTGGGTGGAGCCTGCATGTTCTCTCTGTGCAAGTGTGGGTTTTCTCCGGGTACTCCGGTTTCCTCCCACACACCAAAAACATGATTGTTAGGCTAATTGGTAAATCTAAATTGTCCCTAGGTGTGAGTGAGAGAGTGAATGCTTGTTTGTCTCTATGTGTCCCTGTGATGAACTTGCAACGTGTCCAGGGTATTCCCCATCCCTCGCACAGTGATCACTGGACAAGAGCACCGGCAACCCCCATGACCCAAAATAGAAGAAGTGGGTAAAAGATAATGGATGGATGGATGGTATGCTGTGGTTAAAAAATAAATTTTAAATAAATTTAAAAAAAAACACCACCACTGTTGGGAGAACTGAAACATGAAATGTTAAATGAATAAAACACATTTTTCAGATTTTTCTGTATGTCTCACCTTGCAACAAGGAGGTTGCGGTTGTAACAGTCTCTGGTACGCCATCCTTGCTGTAAATCGACTGTAGAAACTCTGGAACGCAGTCGTTTTCATCAACAATTACAACTCGTACCTAGCAAATAAAAGAAAAAATACAAGTTACAAATACATATATTTTAATAAATTGCAAAACTTCAGTAACAGAAAAATAAGGCAAAATAAGCTTGACAGTATGTGAAAATTACCATTTATTTCTTATCGGAAATATTCTATACAAAAATGTGCATAAAAGAAAATATTTTATGTCAAACTCTAGGAAAATGTTCAAGGGGTGTAAAAAAAAATCATTGTGGGGGTTGAACTTTTTTAAAATGCATGTGGCAGTAATGCTTTACTAGTGAATCTTCGAGACTTGCAGAAGCAATCCCACATGGAAATACTGCAGATTTAAGTCCCCCTGGTATAGCGTAGTGATGTTTTTAAATCTGGCATTACTCCTGCAGGCACTGCTCAAAATTGGTTTTCTCTGCATCCAGAGTAGTTTTCAACTGGAAGTAACCCAAATTAACCCTATCCATAACCATAAAGAGAGCTTTATCCCAACCTGAGCCAAAGTCCTGACCCTGATCCCAGGGGTTTACTTTCCCTTCCTTAAGGAGTAAGTTGCTCTAGAGTTTGTACTCCAGGAGGTCAGCAGAGAATGCAGTCTGGTAGTTAGAAGCCTTGTGCTAACAAAGAAGTCACAGCAAAAGATAACTTTTTTGATATGAACACAACAGTTTGTGTGTTTTGCTGAGGCACAGTAACATTGTTCTTTCCATTAGGGAGCAGAAGTCCAGCAAAGCCTCTTCCACCAGATGTTGCCAGCCTGGATGTACAATCCAGGAGTAACAAATGGGATGGTAGCAAGCTGATCCGACCTCAACAACATACTGTATTTCTTAAAAAAAGAAAAAACCCGATACATTCACATTACACATCACATGCACACAAAAGTGCTTTATAAATACCCCTGGCATTAAGTTTGAGTAGGTAAAATGAAATTATGTAATATCAGTTCATCTCTCAATAAAGATCAGCTTTGAAGCAATGAACAAGGAAATAAATTCTGGCCATCACGTCATCTCCCTGAGGTGATTGTGTACCAGTGACTCTTTGTGTATTGGAGCAGTGAAAAAAGATATGGAGTAATGGATGAAACAAACATTCTTGTTGCATTACTTTCTAAATGATCCAAACATGGTTTTATTTATTTCTGTGTTCACTTTCCAAAAATATGCTGTTGAATCAAACAAGTGTTTCTTTATTAAATAAAGACACAGTTGCACAGGTTACGATGGTGATGAAGCAAGGTGTTACATAGACTTTACTTTATATAGATGTTCTTTTCTGACATTTTGCCCCCACTCTGGAACAGAAAGCAAAATGTGATCAACAAATCTTCAGTTTCTTATTGCTGTTACCATCTTTCAGACTTGGTCAGTAAATGTTTCTCTAAAAGCATCAAGAGACTCGTGAGACAAATTGTAGACACCGTCAGCTGAACAGAAATGCTCCTTTAAATAACACATGGTGCATCTTAACACCCCTGCTGTGTCCGTGGAACTGTCACTCTCTGCTGACCACAACAACAATTTATTTTTCACTTGTTTTTTTTTTCGTTTTTTTACCATATGATTATCAACTTAATTAAAAAGTTTTTTTTTTTTCTTATACCAATCTGAGTATCTGACACAAAATCATTTTAATAATTCCAGAAAAAAAAATTCAGTGTCAATAATTGCACATGTGAACTATAAAGATTTTTTTTTTTAAAGCATTCTCAATTGTGATTTTATCCCACAATGTTGCATTTATGAAAATACTGTTGGTTGTTGCACAGTTTTAATCAACCTTTATCAGACTGCTTTTAATTTTGTAATAACAAATAATGAGAAAAGTAACAATTACCATGCTAATATATACAAAACAATATTACAAGGCTAGCAATCCTTAAATGGAGAGCATATCCCCCTCAGCATATTATGTCAGAGTTTTAAAATAATAATCCTAATTTAAATTAAAAAAAATAAATAAATGTAGCTTTAACATTTTTGGTCAAATCTTGTAAATTACCCAGTGGTTCATAAGATAATTTGCTGACAAACACACAAAGGTTGACTCCAAATGTCAGGCTCCTTGTGTTTTGTGATGTTTTCTTCTTGTGATAATTGGATTTAGTTTACTCTGCGACTGTTTTACTTGCGTTTTCAGCTTTCCCAGTGTTTTTTGTTTCTCCCTCATGTAGTCAGCTCTTGATCCTCCCACTATCACCTGATCCTCATAGTCTCTCCTCAGGTGTTTGTCATTTTCTTTCGTTACGGTCTCTTTAAAACATGTCTCATTTTGTTTGTCCCTCGTCCGTGGATTGTTCTTTCTACAGCCAGTCATGTTCTGTCCCTCTGTCTCCCTGAGTTAATGCAAGTTTTGCTGCCACTTCAGCCTTGGTTTTTGTATTATCTAAATAAATCAAATTTGTTTAGTTTACCCTCAAGTTCCTTGGTGTCTGTCTGCACCCTGTGTTAAAAGAACTTCTGAACATGGTAATACAAGGACATTAAGACTTTACCTGTTTAGTGTTTTCTTTTCTAAGGTTGATCAGCTGTGATAGACATATTGAACTGGTCTGACTCCAAAGCATGCTCGGTAAATGTGCAGAATTTCAAAAGATCTGTTTCATAAAATATTTTGCTAATATATTAAAATCAGGTCTCTCTTGTAAATGAGTCCCCAAGGTTCAATGTGATTAAATAAAGGTTGAATGAAGAATATGACAGGAGCGTGTGCACAGGCACATTCTTGTAAACATACTTATTGGGGATTTTGCAGCAACTTCAATTCATTTTCTATAGCCTAACCCTGGCCCTTACCCTAAACCTAACATTACTGGTACATGCCTAACCCTAACCCAGTCTTTCTCAAATAGTAAGGCGTGCCCCTACTTGGGGGGGGGGGGGGGGGGGATGCCGGGGGCAAGTACACATGTGACACCGGGGAACATGCGTTCTTTGACGCAAGGAGTAGATTTTATTTTTCACCATTCTCATTTTGTTGTGCGAGACATTAAAAAAAGCTCCTCGGATGAGGAGTGAAACGTCTTCCGTTACAAATAAAGTCCAGTTGTTTTTGTATTGAAAGTTTTTGAATTTATCATGTCCTGCCTGGATGACTGAGAATCTTCACCAGCATTTTGTCGCGTGCGTTCCGGCAACTGTTTGCTCATATCTCTCAGGCTTACCAATAATTAATTTGACCACCTTGTCGTTTTGGGAGCCATGCTTGAACCGTGTCACTCCCCTCTGCTGCTGAGACGATAAATAACTCCGACACCTCCGCTGCTGTTTTTATGACACTCTCGACATCACTCAAAGCACGCATGCAACAAAGAGTACAGTCAAAGCGAGAGCAACACCTGCCCCCTCTTTCCTCTTTCACGTTGACAAAATGTTTTAGTTTTTTCGAAAAGTTTGTCAAAGCACAATTTTGATGTTTTTTTGGTTTTTTTTTGTAAATACAGAAGTAATGTTTAATAAATGTTAGGACTCTATTCTTTGCTTACAAAATATATTCACCTCCTCAGTTAATCTGCTGTTTTTATGATGCAATGGATGCTTTTCATCCACAGCATGCATGCGACAAACAGTAAACTCAAAGTGAGAGGGTTACCTGCCACCCCCTTTCCTCTTTCGCACTGACATTTTTTTTTAGTCTTTATAGATAACTGTGCTCTTCGATCCTGACTTCCTCATTTTGATGAAAAAATAAAATAAAATCAGCACAAATCGTTTTAATTTTTGTTTTGTAGTTCTGTGTTTTATAAAACGCTCCTGAGTTAAAATGTTGCTGATCAATTTGAAATTATTATTAATTATTGATTATAGTTAATTTTATTCTTCAGTATCAAATGGTCAAAGATGTTTACAGTTTAAATAAGGATTTAAGTTGTTGTTTATTTTGTTGTTGTTTTTTCCAGGCAAATTGATGCATTTTAAGTTGTTTCTGTTACAGACTAAAAAACAATGTTAATAAAGGTATTCTTCATTGTAAGTTGATCTATATTCTTTTTTTAATGTTAATAAGGACACAATGTTATGCAGAGGTGTACTTACAACAACTTTATAGACAAAATTATACTATTTACTTCTTCTTCTGTGTGTGTGTGTGTGTGTGGGGGGGGGGGGGTACAGAAAATAATAGAGAAGCACTGCCCTAACCCATCAGCAATTTACACCAAGTCCTAAACCTAACCCCTAACCCCTCAACAAGACATCCTTATGGGGGCATGGCTTTGGTCCCCATAAAGAGCAGATGGTTCCCACAACACATGCTTTTTTATACAATTGGTCCCTACAAGGTAACCTGAAACAAAAATGTGCGTGCACACACACACAAACACACACAAACACACAGAGGGAATTACATCATAAAATAGTGGTGCTAAGTCATTAACATATTGACATGATATGAGGGCTCGAGTGTATTTATATACAAAGTACAAACTGGATTCCAAAAAATTTGGGACACTAAACAAATTGTGAATAAAAACTGAATGCAATGATGTGGAGGTGCCAACATCTAATATTTTATTCAGAATAGAACACAAATCACAGATCAAAAGTTTAAACTGACAGAATGTATCATTTTAAGGGAAAAATATGTTGTTTCCAAATTTCATGGCGTCAACAAATCCCAAAAAAGTTGGGACAAGTCCATTTTTACCACTGTGTGGCATCCCCCCTTCTTCTTACAACACTCAACAGACGTCTGGGGACAGAGGAGACCAGTTTATCAAGTTTAGAAATAGGAATGCTCTCCCATTCATGTCTAATACAGGCCTCTAACTGTTCAATCGTCTTGGGCCTTCTTTGTCGCACCTTCCTCTTTACGATGCGCCAAATGTTCTCTATAGGTGAAAGATCTGGACTGCAGGCTGGCCATTCCAGTACCCGGATCCTTCTCCTACGTAACCATGATGTTGTGATTGCTGCAGAATGTGGTCTGGCATTATCGTGTTAAAAATGCAGGGTCTTCCCTGAAAGAGATGACGTCTAAATGGGAGCATATGCTGTTCTAGAACCTGAACATAGTTATCTG